CATTGTCTTGTTACTTGTAGGTGTCCTGTTGCACAAATCAATAATTTTCAGAACTATATCCTGGAGACTACAGGGGAGGTTTTGGTCCCCCCTGGAGTTTCTTTTGTGGCCAAACAGGTCCCAGGAACCAAGCATCCTGGAGGCTGGAGGGGTTGGGGATGGGGGAAGTCTACAGTTTCTTTGTGTGCAGTTTTGGCCCTAGGCTCTGGGAGGCCAGAGGATCTGGAGTTTCCTTGTGTCAGAGGCCTACGTGTCTTTTCTGAAGCCTGTCATGGCTGCTAAAGCAGGGGGCTGAGTGAGGGTCTGGTCCCTTTATTTCTAAATTATTAGAAGTGAAGCCCTTGAGTTTAGTTTACCCCTTTCACTGTCTGGTGAATCCCATTGTTATTATTTTCCATACTTATTTTGAGACAAGATCTCACTGTGCAGCCCAGGCTGACGTTGAACTCATGGAGACCTGCCTGCCTGCCTCTTGAGTGTTGGGAGTAAAGCCATGCAACACCATGCCCAGGTTTTTTGTTTATTTTTAGTTTTTTGAGACAGGGTTTCTCTGTATAACATCCCTCGCTGTCCTGGAACTCTTTGTAGACTAGGCTGGCCTCAAACTCACAGAGATTCTCTGCCTCTGTCTCCCAGGTGCTGGGATTAAAGATGTGTGCCACCACACCTGGCAGTTTTTATTTGTTTTATGTTTGAATAACTGGCAGTGAACTAGACCATCCTTGTATAACTTGGTAAATATGTATTTTCTCTGGAAGCACATTTTTCATTATGAAATTTCATTAATTTTCAATCTTCTTTTATCCAGGCAGTGGTGGCACACACCTTTAATCCCAGCACTCGGGAGGCAGAGGCAGGTAGATCTCTGTGAGTTCGAGGCCAGCCTGCTCTACAACACCTAGTTCCAGGACAGCCTCCAAAGGCGCAGAGAAACCCTCCCTTGAAAACCCAAATAATAATAATAATAAAGATTTAAGTATGTATGAGTTTGTATGAGTGTTTCTGTGGGTTTAATTTGCATGCAGAACCCATGGGAATCAGAAGGAAACAGGTATGGGTCCCCTGGAGCTGGAATTACAGGCAGTTGTGAGCTGCCATGTAGGTGCTGAAGAACCGAATGTCTGGTCTCTGAAGAGCAGGAATCACTCTGGGTCACTCATTTACTTAAAATTGAAAGGAGCTGAGGAAATGTCTCGGGCAGTTGAGAGCCCCTTGCAGAGGACCGAGGCTCACAACTGCCTGTAACTCCAGCTTCAGAAAACTAGTGACTGCTTATGGGCTCATATGTGGGCAGACCCACCACTCACATGTACACGTGATTTAAAATTGTAGTAATAGGAACTGGACATGGTGGTGGTGCACTTCTACAGAGCCTCACTGGGGATATGGAGATTGCAAACATCCAGGGGCTCCCTGGTCAGCGAGTGAGAGAGATTAAGTCAGAAAACAGGATGGAATGGGTGCGGGCATGGTGGTGCATGCCTTTAATCTCCATCATGGAACAAACCTTCCCCTCCCCAAGTCACTTGTGGTCATGGTGTTTCATCACACCAACTGAAATCCTAGCTTTGGATTCTATCCCCAGTGCCAAGTAGACCAGATTATGGTGGCACATGCCTGTCATCCCAGCACCTATGAGGGAAGCAGAAGGAGCAGGGTCATCATGACTACCCAGGGAGCTCAAGGCCAGCCTGGACTACAGAAGGCCTTGACAAAAAAAAAGTAAAGTTATTTTAATGCTGTCTGTCCTCTGCCTGGCATTTGTCTCAGCCCCATGTGACCCTCAGTGGGAAGCATAGGTCCAGCCCTGGGGAATCAGGTTGTTTGCAGCAGTAAATGAGATGAAGACAGGCCTTTCACAGCCTCGGGGTCCAGGCTGAAGAACTTGCTGTCCAGAGCACTGGAAGCCAAGGAAAACATGTGAGCAGGTGACAGATGGGAAAGATGTGTGGCCTAGGGTGAGTGTCCATGTGGCCTAGGGTGAGTGTGCAGGGACTGAGATGCCCTAGGGTGAGTGTGCAGGGACTGAAGGACAGGAATGTAGAGGTGCAAAGGGAAGTCACAATGAGTACTTGGTGCAGGCTTCACTCAAGGCAGGGCTCCTCGGGGAGGGGCGAAGGTGACAGGTGCTCGGTGTCTGCACTTTCTCTTTTCTTTTTTAAATTCGCATGCACGCGTCTGCTTATTTATTTATTTACTTATCTATCTACTATGTGCCATGATGCCCATATGAGGTCAGAGGACACACGGGAGTCAATTCTCCTTCTACCACCAATCCTGACCTAGAACTAAGGTCTCACATTTGGCAGCAAGCACCTTTATCCTCTGAGCTATTTTGTTCTGTCTCTTCTGCTCCCCCCCCGTGTGTGTCTGTGTGTGTGTCTATGTGTGTGTCTGTGTCTGTGTGTGTCTATGTGTGTGTCTGTGTCTGTGTCTGTGTGTGTGTCTGTGTGTGTGTCTGTGTGTGTCTGTGTGTGTGTCTGTGTGTTTGTGTGTCTGTGTCTGTGTCTGTGTGTGTGTCTGTGTGTGTGTCTGTGTGTGTGTGTGTCTGTGTCTGTGTGTCTGTGTGTGTCTGTGTGTGTGTGTCTGTGTATCTGTGTGTGTGTCTGTGTGTATGTGTCTGTGTGTGTGTGTGTGTGTGTGTCGTCTGTGTGTCTGTGTCTGTGTGTCTGTCTGTGTGTCTGTGTGTGTGTCTCTCCCTCCCCCTCCCTTCTCCCCCCTCTGTCTCTCTGCCTCTCCCTCTTTCATCCCTGGCTGATCTGAAGCTTACTATGTGGAACAAGCTGGTCTCAAACTCACAGAGCTCCTCCCAAGCACTGGAATCAAAGGATCAAAGGCATGCACCATCATGCCTGGCCTCTTCGTTTTTGTTTTTTTGTTTTTTTGAAACAGTGTGTCAAGGCTGGCCATGAACCAGGCAAGGGTAACTTGATCTCCTGCCTCCCCTGCCTCTACCTCCACCGTGGCAAGATGACAGCTTATATCATCACTCTGGGTTTGGTCAATTCTACTGCAGGATGCGCCTCACCCAGCCCTCTCTTGCCTAGCACCCAGCGCTTATTCATTCATTAGAAAAAATCTGGATTATCTGAAGTGATTGCAGTTCCGACGTTGGCCACGTGGGGCAGCAGTGGACAGACCAAAGCGTCAGTTACAGGAACTCCGCGACTGGTCCCCTGCTCAGCATCCCCACTTTCCCTTTGCTAAGGAAGGAGCAAATGAGGTAAGGAAAGCGGGGGAGGAAGAAGTCAGCTCGATGGCAGAGTGGTTGCTTAGCATCTTCAAGGCCCCGAGTCCCACCTCCAGTACTGAAAAACTTAAAACATACGATGACGACAACTAAAAAACCCCAAATAGCCCAGCATTGGGGCAGAGGCTGGGGCTGCCGCAAAGGCCTCGTTCTGAGTTCCAGGACAGCCTGGCCTATAAGCCAGACTGTGTTTCCATAAGTAAGTTATAACTGAAAAAATAAAATACACCTTTGGAGACAGTTTTCTTCAAGCCTTTTTAGAATGAAAACTACCCTATTGCTTTTTTTTTTTTAGATTTATGTATTTTATGTATATATGAGTGCTCTATCTGCATGTACACCTTTACACCAGAAGAGGGCATCAGATCCCACTATAGATGGTTGGGAGCCACCACATAGTTGCTCATGTCCTCTGGAAGAGCAGCCAGTGCTCTTAACTTCTGAGCCATCTCTCCAGCCCCTACTCTGTTGCTTCTATGCCAAACCGGGCAGGCCCTTGCTTCCCAAAGGCCATTGGATCAACACCTGAGCCCATTCACTTTTGTGAATTGAGGGGAGGGGGGCAGGGAAGCAGGAGGTGGCAAATGCCGGTAAGCCCAGCGCTTGGGTGATGTAAGCAGGAAGATCAGGAGTTCAAGGCCAATCTACGCAATAAATTTGAGATCAGCCTGGAGTACACGAGACCCTAAATAAATAAATGAAGCAGAAATAACATTTTCTGGCATACTGTCAATAGCAGGAAGCAATAGACTCCCATCAAAGTGTGGTGGCTGCCCTTGATAGCCACCCTGATGGAACCAGAGCCCTGTGTTTTCAGGAAGTAATCCTTCTCCAGAGGGGAGGAGCCCTTCTCTCACCTGTCACAGGTGGTGCCTTCCTGCAGGTGGCCCAGATCTGGAAAACAACAGCTGCCTGCCTCCCTGCCTCCCTCCCTGCCTCCCTCCCTCCCTCCCTCCTTGCCTGCCTCCCTCCCTGCCTGCCTCCCTCCCTCCCTGCCTCCCTGCCTCCCTGCCTCCCTCTCTCCCTCCCTGCATGCCTCCCTGCCTCCCTCCCCACCTCCCTCCCTCCCTGCCTCCCTGCCTCCCTCTCTGCCTCCCTGCCTCCCTCCCCCACCTCCCCGCCTCCCTCCCTGCCTGCCTCCCTGCCTCCCTCCCTCTCTGCCTCCCTGCCTCCCTCCCCCACCTCCCCGCCTCCCTCCCCGCCTGCCTCCCTGCCTGCCTCCCTGCCTCCCTCCCTGCCTCCCTGCCTCCCTCCCTCCCTGCCTCCCTGCCTCCCTCTCTGCCTCCCTCTCTGCCTCCCTCCCTGCCTCCCTCCCCACCTCCCTCCCTCCCTGCCTCCCTCCCTGCCTCCCTGCCTACCTCCCTCCCTGCATGCCTCCCTGCCTCCCTGCCTCCCTCCCTGCCTGCCTCCCTTTCTGCCTCCCTCCCTCCCTGCCTCCCTCCCCACCTCCCTCCCTCCCTGCCTCCCTCTCTGCCTCCCTGCCTGCCTGTCTCCCTGCCTGCCTGTCTCCCTGCCTCCCTCCCTGCCTCCCTGCCTCCCTCCCTGCCTCCCTGCCTCCCTCCCTCCCTGCCTCCCTGCCTCCCTGCCTCCCTCCCTGCCTCCCTGCCTCCCTGCCTCACTCCCTGCCTGCCTGCCTCCCTCCCTGCCTGCCTCCCTCCCTGCCTGCCCTTCTGCCTCTCCCCCTCTCCACCTCTTGCTTTTGCCTGCCTCCATTGCTGCTGCTGTCACTGCCACTTGGGCCATCCTTCACTGACACTGGAACTTGACTTCATTTGCACAGGCCAGCAGCTCCCCAGGGATCCTCCAGGTGTTCAGCACAGGACTGGAACTGCTGAGGCCCCAGCCCCGCCCACTGAGCAGCTGCTGGTTCTCAGCCTCCCCTGTGCAAGCCCACATCAGGTAAGCCACTCTAGACTGGTTTTGTTGTTGTTGAGATTTTTAGATTTTTTTATGTGTATGAGTGTTTGGCTGCATGTATGTATGTATACCACCCAAGTGCCTGATGCCTATGAAGGTCAGAAGAGGGCATCAGATCCCCTGGGACTGGAGGTACAGACAATTGTGAGCCAGGTCTTCTGGAAGAACAGTCAGTGCTCTTGACCACTGAGTCATCTCTCCAGTCATCACACACACACACACACACACACACACACACACACACACACACACTTGTTTTGCTCCTCTAGAGAACCCTGCCTAACTTTTGAGGAAGGAATCAAGGGAATCATGTATATTCAGGCTTGATGGAGGATGGAAGATGGAGAGATGGAGGATGGAGAGATGGAGGATGGAGAGATGGAGGATGGAGGATGGAGAGATGGAGGATGGAGAGATGGAGGGTGGAGAGATGGAGAATGGAGAGATGGGGGATGGAGAGATGGAGGATGGAGAGATGGAGAGATGGAGAGATGGGGGATGGAGAGATGGAGGATGGAGGATGGAGAGATGGAGAGATGGGGGATGGAGAGATGGAGGATGGAGAGATAGAGGATGGAGAGATGGAGAGATGGAGGATGGAGAGATGGGGGATGGAGAGATCAAGGATGGAGAGATGGAGAAATGGGGAATGGAGATGGGGGATGGAGAGATGGAGGATGGAGAGGTGGAGGATGGAGAGATGGAGAGATGGAGGATGGAGAGATGGAGGATGGAGAGATGGGGGATGGAGAGATGGAGGATGGAAAGATGGAGAGATGGAGAGATGGGGGATGGAGAGATGGAGGATGGAGGATGGAGAGATGGAGGATGGAGAGATGGGGGATGGAGAGATGGAGGATGGAGAGATGGGGGATGGAGAGATCGAGGATGGAGAGATGGAGGATGGAGAGATGGAGGATGGAGAGATGGAGAGATGGAGGATGGAGAGATGGGGGATGGAGAGATGGAGGATGGAAAGATGGAGAGATGGAGAGATGGGGGATGGAGAGATGGAGGATGGAGAGATGGGGGATGGAGAGATCGAGGATGGAGAGATGGAGAGATGGAGGATGGAGAGATGGGGAATGGAGAGATGGGGGATGGAGAGATGGAGGATGGAGAGATGGAGGATGGAGAGATGGAGGATGGAGAGATGGAGGATGGAGAGATGGGGGATGGAGAGATGGGGGATGGAGAGATGGAGGATGGAGAGATGGAGGATGGAGAGATGGAGAGATGGAGGATGGAGAGATGGAGGATGGAGAGATGGAGAGATGGAGGATGGAGAGATGGAGAGATGGAGAGATGGAGGATGGAGAGATGGAGAGATGGGGATGGAGAGATGGGGGATGGAGAGATGGAGGATGGAGAGATGGAGGATGGAGAGATGGAGGATGGAGAGATGGAGGATGGAGAAATGGGGGATGGAGAGATGGATGATGAAGAGATGGAGAGATGGAGAGATGGAGGATGGAGAGATGGAGGATGGAGAGATGGGGGATGGAGAGATGGAGAGATGGAGGATGGAGAGATGGAGGATGGAGAGATGGAGAGATGGAGAGATGGAGGATGGAGAGATGGAGGATGGAGAGATGGGGGATGGAGAGATGGAGAGATGGAGGATGGAGAGATGGAGGATGGAGAGATGGAGAGATGACAGATGGAGGATGGAGGACGGAGAGATGGAGAGATGGAGGATGGAGAGATGGGGGATGGAGAGATGGAGAGATGGAGGATGGAGAGATGGAGGATGGAGAAATGGGGGATGGAGAGATGGAGAGATGGAGGATGGAGAGATGGAAGATGGAGAAATGGGGGATGGAGAGATGGAGAGATGGGGGATGGAGAGATGGAGGATGGAGAAATGGGGGATGGAGAGATGGAGAGATGGGGGATGGAGAGATGGAGGATGGAGAAATGGGGGATGGAGAGATGGAGAGATGGGGGATGGAGAGATGGAGGATGGAGAAATGGGGGATGGAGAGATGGAGAGATGGGGGATGGAGAGATGGGGGATGGAGAGATGGAGAGATGGAGGATGGAGAGATGGAGGATGGAGAGATGGGGGATGGAGAGATGACAGATGGAGGATGGAGGACGGAGAGATGGAGAGATGGAGGATGGAGAGATGGGGGATGGAGAGATGGAGAGATGGAGGATGGAGAGATGGAGGATGGAGAAATGGGGGATGGAGAGATGGAGAGATGGGGGATGGAGAGATGGAGGATGGAGAAATGGGGGATGGAGAGATGGATGATGAAGAGATGGAGAGATGGAGAGATGGAGGATGGAGAGATGGAGAGATGGAGGATGGAGAGATGGAGGATGGAGAGATGGAGGATGGAGAGATAGAGAGATGGGGATGGAGAGATGAGAGATGGAGGATGGAGAGATGAGAGATGGAGGATGGAGAGATGAGAGATGGAGGATGGAGGATGGAGAGATGGAGAGATGAGATATGGGGATGGAGAGATGGAGGATGGAGAGATGGAGGATGGAGAGATGGAGGATGGAGAGATGGAGGATGGAGAGATGAGAGATGGGGATGGAGAAATGGAGGATGGAGGATGGAGAGATGGAGAGATGGGAGGATGGAGAGATGGAGGATGGAGAGATGGAGGATAGAGAGATGGAGGATGGAGAGATGGAGGATGGAGAGAAGGAGGAGAGATGGAGGATGGAGAGATGGAGGATGGAGAGAAGGAGGATGGAGAGATAGGGGATGGAGGGTGGAGAGATGGAGGATGGAGAGATTGAAGATAGAGAGATGGAGGATGGAGAGATGGGGGATGGAGAGATGGAGGATAGAGGGATGGAGGATGGAGAGATGGGGGATGGAGAGATGGGGATGGAGAGATGGAGGATGGAGAGATGGAGAGATGGAGGGATGGAGAGATGGAGAGATGGGAGGATGGAGAGATGGAGGATGGAGAGATGGAGGATGGAGAGATGGAGGATGGAGAGATGGAGGATGGAGAGATGGAGGATGGAGAGAAGGAGGATGGAGAGATGGAGGATGGAGAGATGGAGGATGGAGAATAGAGAGATGGAGGATGGAGAGAAGGAGGATGGAGAGAAGGAAGATGGAGAGATGGAGTGTTCAAAAATTTCTCTTCATTCTGTCATGTCCCAACGACATGTGTGGGCTCCTGATGACGTTAATGGCACAGCCAGAAGTAGGACATAATAAGTGTGGAGTGTGTCAACACATCCCTGGAGTCCCAGCACTCAGGAGGTGTCTCTAGGGCAGAGATCAAGGTCATCCTGTTACACAAAGTTTCCAGGTAGCCTAGGTAACACACAAGGCAGAAAAAGTTCTTGTATGACAGAGCCCACACAGGTGAGGACACAGGAAGAGAAAATAATTACATGTGACACTTGTCAGGCAGCGATAGCACACTGTAGAGAAAGAAGCTACAGGAAGACTAAGCTAAGTCTAGCCGGGTGTGGTTCAGTGGTAGATCATAAGACCCTGAGTTCCACAGCCAGCACTGGGGAAAAAAATCCAGACTGTGAATACAGGAACCCTGTAAGAAGGAAGAGTCTTCAAGCATGGAACATGGAGGGCAAAGGCCCTGAAGTCTCGGGCTCCCTAGGAAAGGTGAGGGGTCAGAGAAGCCAGGAAATGGGAGGACAGATGGGAAAGAAAGGGCAGAAGAGGGGGAAAGCAGATACAGGACCAGCTAGAGAGGAACGCCAGCATGGGGCTGGCCTCTAGGCTGAGCTTGCAGGGGGAAATGAGATGGAGAGCCACCACCGTTGCTCTTGCTAGCAAGAGGGAGGTGGAGGCAGGAGGATCAGGAGTCAGGCTATCCTCAGCTATGCAGTGAATTTAAATCCAACTCAGGTCATTAAAAACAAAAGGCAGTTATGAAATGGTACCCCATTTTTCTCTGAGGGCAAATTAAAGCATGAAAGAACATGGATAGACATTGAGCCCCAGGGCATGGTGGTACTCAGGAGGCTGAGGCAGGGATACCAGGTGCTCCAGGGCAGCCTAGACTAGCAACACAACCAATCCTGACCTCAGAAAATACAAATAAAAACTATATAAAACCAAGTAATCAGAGCATAGCATGTTGGTTTACACCTTTGATTTCAGAGACAGGCAGATAGATCTCTGTAAATTGGAGGCCAGCCTGGTCTACCTTAGCAAGTTCCAGGACAGCAAGGCTATAATGTGACCCTGCCTTAAAAAAACAAAACAAACAAACAAACAAACAAACAAAAGGCGTGGTGACACCTACCTGTAATCCCAGTGCTCTGGAGTAGCAACCAGGAGGACCAGGAGTTCAAGGACAAGCTACACAGGGAGCTTGAGGTTTATGCCACTCACTATTCAGAAAAACCCCAGAATATCTATAGATTTTACCAGCTTTCCACACCCCTCCTTTTGGTGGCCTGGGGTAGCTACTACACTGCCTTCCTTTGGTCTCAAACTCTGATGGTTGGTTTTTTTGTTTGTTTGTTTTTGTTTTTGATCCGGGCTCTGCATCTGTGGCTGAGGCTGGTCCCAGAGTTCATGTCCTCCGGCTTCTGCCTTCCCCGGGGGGTGGCCACCTCACCCAGCTTGATCTACGCCCATGTGCTTGATTTAACACCATCATTTTGTGCACAGTGTGTGTACGTGTGTTTATACACAGCTAGGAGCCGGTGCAATCCTCCCACCGTTTTAGTCCCGGGGATCGAATTCAGGTCTTCAGGCTTGGCAACAAGCACTTTCACACACTGAAGCCTCTCGTGGGCCCTGGCTGGGATTTTTCTCATCTGCAGAAGCTAATGGGATTCCGTGAGAAGCACTCGGGGTGGGGTGCGCGGGGGAGGGGAAGGTCTCAGATGTTAGCTCAAAGCCACATGACGTCACTGGGACATCAGAATGACCACTCCCTCAATCGGCCCCTTAACGAGTTACCTGCCAGATGACTCCCCACCTGAAAATATTTTTTTTCATGCATTCTATACTTTATTCTTCAGGTCACTGAGTTCAGACCACGCTCAAAAATGGAGGGAGGCTGGAGAGGGTTCCTCACTGTGGGAGGAGCCAATGAAGGGAGGCTGGAGAGGGTTCCCCACTGTGGGAGGAGCCTATGAAGGAAGGCTGGAGAGGGTTCCCCACTGTGGGAGGAGCCTATGAAGGGAGGCTGGAGAGGGTTCCCCACTGTGGGAGGAGCCTATGAAGGAAGGCTGGAGAGGGTTCCCCACTGTGGGAGGAGCCTATGAAGGGAGGCTGGAGAGGGTTCCCCACTGTGGGAGGAGCCTATGAAGGGAGGCTGGAGAGGGTTCCCCACTGTGGGAGGAGCCTATGAAGGGAGGCTGGAGAGGGTTCCCCACTGTGGGAGGAGCCTATGAAGGAAGGCTGGAGAGGGTTCCCCACTGTGGGAGGAGCCTATGAAGGGAGGCTGGAGAGGGTTCCCCACTGTGGGAGGAGCCTATGAAGGGAGGCTGGAGAGGGTTCCTCACTGCCGGAGGGGCTTGCTTATGCTCATGTAGGGATTTTTGTTTTAGTTTTTTAAAATAGCATATATAAAATATTTCTAGAATACATATTAATCACACACATAATGGTTCCGTTATGACACTTCTTACATGTACATAGCACACTTTACTCACATTCACGCCCCCATCATCTCCTGCCCCTTGCCTCTGACCCTTGCCGTGTCCTTCTCCTTCTCCTTCTCCTTCAAAATGTTTTCAGTTTTGTGCATGATATTTGTTCGGGCTCACACGTATGCTGTGGAAAGACTATGGAGGTCAGCCAGGCATAGAGGTGTTCACTCTGGAAGCCGAGGAAGGCAGATCTCGGTGAGTTCAAGGCCAGCCTGGTCTACATACCCAGTTCTAGGACACCTAGAGCTGCACAGTGAGACACTGTCTAAAACAAACCGTGGGGGTCAGAGGACAAGCGCGTGCAGTTGGTTCCTATTTTCTCCGCGATTCGGGTTCCAGGGACCAAACCCAGGCTGCCAAGCTCGACTGCAGGGGCCCTTCCTAGCCTCTCTGTGACTGTGTTGTTGTTTGGGTTTTGGTTTTGGTTTTCTTTTTAGAGACAGGGTTTCTCTACGTAGCGTTGGCTATCCTGAAGCTTAGTATATATAGACCAGGCCAACCGTGAACTCACAGAGCTCCATGTGCTTCTGCTGCTCAAGGGCTGGGATTAAGGAAGTGAGCCACCACGCAGGCCCAGCCCTGTTCTTTGGGATTTTAAGGACAATTTGACCCCTCTCCCCTGAAACGTATTTATTTATGAATGGGACAGAGTCTCGCGTCTTGAACTTGTTCTGGGGCTGACTTAATCTTGACCCGATCTTCGGTCCTCCGCGGCCTAGGATTACAGGTGTGCCCTGTTTTATTCCGACCTGGGTTTGGGACCCAGGGCTCTGTGCGCGTTGCCAAGCACTCTCCCAACTGAGCCAGACGGCCAGCCTCCCCGCAGACACAGGAGAGAACCGGGGTGAGAGCTGCGGTGTGCCCGCCACTCTGGGCCCCTCTCCGCCTAAATCCCTCCTCTGCGGCTTGTGAAGGCCCATTTTACAGGGGGCTGGCCTGCCGCCCTAGCCCCTGCTCACCCATTTTAAAGACCTGGAGACCGATTAGAGCCATCATCACACCTGACTGGGGAGCCCGGCTCCATCCAGGGCTGAACCTCCCCAGCACGGCCGCCAGGGGCTGTGGGCACCAGGGGTCCTGGGGGCCCCCTCATCTCCCGGGACCCTGAGCCCCGGAGGCAAGGCGCCAGGTAGTGGCCGAGGCAGGGTTGGGGCGGGGAAATTGAGGCACCCGCCCTCCGCAAGCCTGGCCTCAATTGGGTTGGCGGGGAGCTGTGGGCAAAGGCTGGCCGGCGCCGCCTCTTCTCTAGAGCCGCCCGGAGCGACCCGCCCGCCCGCCGATCCGCAGCTCGCTGGGTCGGCACTGCTTGGCCTGGACCCTGGACCCACCAGCGAGGTGAGAGCGGCCGGGCCAGGCCCTTCGCTCTGCCTCCCACGGGGGAGGGGTCTCTGCTTTTCAGGTCACCCTCTTCCTTCCTGTTCGTCTCAGCGAGAGGTGCGACTGGGGGGTCCACAGCAAGCCCAGCGCTGGGAGACCTGGGGCGAGCCGCCGACCCTCTCTGAGACTTTATGCAAAGCGCCTAAGGAGGGATTCCGGGAGCCGCACTAACCGAGACGGGAGGGATTGGTGGTGAGTGTTGAGGGAACTAAGTCTGAGGAGTGTGGGCGGTGTGTGTGAAGCTGAAGAGAGAGACGAGGAGGTGAGAAAATTGGCCACACCTACCCACCACAGTGCACGGCTCCGCGGCCAAGTGGTGGGTGTGCAGAGAGCCGCTGAAGGTGCTGGGGTCAAAAGGCTGCAGCCACGCGGTGTGTTCCTTCTGGGAGTTCCTCAGGCTAGAATGGGGGTTGGGAAGATCGTGGACAAAACTTCCCGGAAAAGGCGATCAGTGTTGTTGATGTTTATGGGGGCGACGTGGACGCTGAGACAGCCCCACACTTAGATGACTGCAAACACAGAAGTCACGTTAGAGATACAGACTCCGCACAAAACACAGACACGCACAGGGGTCTGTCACGTGGGTGCCACCGAAGAACTCAGGCCTGAAATTCCAGCACTTGGAAGGCAGAGGCAGTGGCTCGGGAGTTCAAGGTCATCCTTGGCTCTACACAGGGAGTTTGAGGTCTGCCGGGGATACTTGAGGCTCTGACTCCAAACAAACAAAAAGAAAACCGAACTGGAGGATATGTCACACACAAGCCACTCGGGTTGCTCGGACCAGAACTCCCATGCAGAGCAGAGGCACCCACTCAGTCTGGCTCAGATGCACACAGAAAAAGTGAGCTAGTGACAGGCGGCCAAGCATAAAAGAACACAGAAGCGAAACAGGTTTCAGACACAGAGCAGCCTCGAGAGTGACCGACACTGGGACCTACGGATACCCTCCCAGCACACACAGTCAGACCCTGGCATGCAACCCCGAAGCTGTGCTAGCTTCGAGAGACTTCACACACACACTCACATACACACTCTCACACACACTCACACCCCAGCCCCATGTCCACTTCTGGGGAAGTTCAGCGCTCACGTGACCCAGGGGGAGGGCTACTGGACAGTCCCTGGGGAAAATGCATCATCTCTCCCGCCGATGCACTTCCTCCCCAGGGAATAAAGAGTCCGTGGCCACCAGTTCTGCTCCAGGAGCCCGATTGCCTCTGGCAACCTCACTGAGCAGTCTGCGCTTCCTCCACGGTGAGTGCCAAGTACCCGAGGAAGGCGGTGGAAAGGGTGTGGGGCCACCCTTCCCTAGCTCCTTGACTCCTTGGCCAGGAACAATTGCTGCTGCTGTGTCTTTGAAATGGACAGCTAGCTCTTGTGTGTGTGTGTGTGTGTGTGTGTGTGTGTTGACACAGGTCTCAGGTACAACAGCTGGCCTCAGACTTTTCCGTTTCCACTTCCCAAACTTCCCATGTGCCGGAGGCTGACCTTGAACTTCTGATCCTGTCGCTCCGCCTCCCTGCTTCCTGAGTTTATTTGTGTGCACCATCACACCAGGCTCAGCTTGGACAGGGAGAGGGACCCGCTCTCCATCCTTGGCCAGGGACTCCAGACTCTCTCTTCACTCACAGATGGACGCACGGACGGTGCTGCTGGGCCTGCAAATCATGTCGCTCCCGCTCCTGGGTCACTGTGCAGCTGCCACTCCCACCCTGAGATTTGTGGCTGTTGGTGACTGGGGAGGGGTCCCCAATGCCCCCTTTCACACAGCCCGGGAAATAGCCAACGCTAAAGAAATCGCCAGAACCGTGCAGATTATGGGTGCTGACTTCATCATGTCCCTGGGGGACAACTTCTACTTCACTGGAGTGCGTGATGACAAAGACAAGCGGTTCCAGGTATATGGGCAACAACGGGGTTAGAGGTGACAGGGGGGAGGTCACTCCACCTGGGGCCTTGCTCTGGGGAGGGCAGAGGGAAGCAGAAGCCCCTATGGGTAGGCACCTGGGACATCCAGTGGCTCCTTTGTCCTTTGCCTCTGGACAGGCTGCCCTTGGTGGGAACAGCAAGGTAGCTCTGACCCCAGAGGGGGGGTGCTCTCTTTGTGTGTCACAGGAAACCTTTGAGGAGGTGTTCTCTGACCGTGCCCTCCGCAATATCCCCTGGTATGTGTTGGCTGGGAACCATGACCACCTTGGCAATGTCTCAGCACAAATTGCTTACTCCAAGATCTCCAAGCGCTGGTGAGCTTCCCTCCTTCCCCAAAGGGACTCCCACTCAGGGACAAAGGGACACTTTGGCCTTGGGAGAATGTTTGGTTCTGCTTTTTTATTGTGCTGTCTTTACTGGGGGGTCACAGCACATGTGTGCAGGCCAGAGGACAGCTTGTGGGGGTCAGTCCTCTCACCCCACCGTGTGGCTTCCGGGGCTGGAGTTCAGGTCATCAGGTGGTTTCCTCACTGAAGCGTGGCACTGCCTCAGAGCCTCTCTTTTGTTTTGTTGAAGCAGGGTCGCACGTAGCCCCTGCTGGCCTTGGATCTCCTATGTAGCCAAGGATGATCCTGAGCTCCTGATCCTGCGGATTTCAGACACACACCACCACACTCAGCTGTTCATTTTTGAGTTGGGATCTTGCTATCTAGTCTAGGCTGCTCTCAAAAATTAAGATTCTCTTGCCTCAGCCTCCAAAGTATTGAGATGGCAGATGTGCCACTGAGCCTAGCCAAACAAGCCTTTGGGCGCTGAGGAGCATGCCCAGTCAGGAAAGCACTTGCTAAGCAGATACAAGGACCTGAATTCATGTGAGGGGAGTGAACACAAAAGAATTCTGGGACTGGATGGCTCACCTGGCTGAATCTATGAGCCCACAGCTTAGTGAGGTGCCCTGTGGGTAAAAAGCACTTGTAAGCCCAAGTGTTCAATCCCAGGAATCCATAGTGAAAAAAAGAACCAATTACCAAAAGTTATTCTCCGTCCCTAGGAATCTTTTCCTGACCTCCATGGGCACTGCACGCACGTGGTGCACAGGCACACGTTCAAGCATATAAAACTCAGACAAGCGTTCAAGCACATAAAATAAAAAATAATCTAAAAAGAAATGTTTTTAAGATTAAAAAATTAAAAGCAGGAAGTCCTTTGGCCAAAACTAATATTAGTCTGTCCCTGCCTAAAATGTTTACCCACAATTTCTGTTCTCTCCACAGGAACTTCCCAAGCCCTTACTATCGTTTGCACTTCAAAATCCCACGGACAAACGTAACCGTGGCCATCTTCATGCTGGACACAGTGATGCTGTGCGGCAACTCTGATGACTTCGTCAGCAAGCAGCCCAAAATGCCCCGAGACCTGGGAGTGGCCCGGAGTCAGATGTCCTGGTTCAAAAAGCAGTTGGCAGCAGCCAAGGAAGACTACATTTTGGTGGCTGGCCACTACCCCATCTGGTCCATTGCTGAACATGGACCCACCCGCTGCCTGGTCAAGCACTTGCGGCCACTGTTGGCCACATACGGGGTCACTGCCTACCTCTGTGGACATGATCACAACTTGCAGGTGAGGTCTCTGTGAACAGGATGGGGAATCTGCCAGGGAGTTCTTACTATACTGCAAGGTGCCGCTCAGATTCCCTTCCTCAAATTATGATGTCAAGCATGGCTCAAAAGTAGTCTGAGTCCCCCAGTGAGGAGTTGGGCTTACTGCTCAGTGGCAGAGCCTCTGCCTAGAATCCCCCAGTGAGGGCTGGGGTGTGGCTCAGTGGTAGAGTGCTTGCCTACAATGCAGGAAGCCACAGGCTTCTAAAACACCGGCCAAAATGCCAAAGCAACTCCCAGTTATGCCTGTGGGGTAGGATTGACGCTCTGTGGTCAGGAATACACCTATTCCCACACCTACGGGAGGTGGTCTAGATGAAGCCCCTGGTCATCCCCTAGGCCTGTCTGGAGTGACCAACCTTGTATCCTCTGCCCTCAGTATCTTCAGGATGAGAATGGAGTGGGCTATGTGCTGAGTGGGGCTGGCAACTTCATGGACCCCTCCGTGCGGCACCAAGGCAAGGTCCCCAATGGCTACCTGCGCTTTCACTATGGATCTGAGGAATCCCTGGGTGGCTTCACATATGTGGAGATAAGCCCCAAAGAAATGAGCATCACCTATGTGGAAGCTGCTGGAAAATCACTCTTCAAGACCAGCCTCCCCAGACGACGCAGATACTGAACACCTTCAGCTTGTCCCCTATGGCTCTGAGGCAGGAAGCCTCTGCAGGCACGGTGGGTGGACGCTGTGAGGACCTCAGCCACGGGCAGCTTTTTCTCTGGCCCCTGGTGCTCTGACAGAGTGGGAAGGGAAACCACAGAGGCTTGCATACATGAAAGAAGTATGTGCACACAGACTCACCCCACCCCACAGCCAGGTTTTGGGGTACAGCTTTCTTGGAGTAAGGCTTCTGAATCAAGCATTTTATAGTCACTGCTATTCAATAAAAGAATGCTTGCCAAGTCCCCAGTTGTCTTCAAAATGGGTGTGTCATCGGGGTTACACGTGTCGGTGAGTGGGGCGGCATCAGTCCATGGGTCAGGTAAAGGACAACTTCCCAGGGGTCAAACACAAGCTCCTGGACTTGAGGACGAGTGTCTTTACCTGCTAAGCCATCTCCTTTCCATCTCTTAGTTCCGTGCATAACCACCTAAATTTACCCACGGGCATTAACCCTTCTACCCTCAGCTATTGGACTGAGAAATCCAGGTACTCCTGTCTCTGCCCCCCACCCCACCCCAGTGCTGCGATTATAGGCATCTTCCATCATGCCTGGCTGTGGATGTGGTCCCAGGTATGCGGGCGAGTGAAACAGGAGGAGCAGCCTGGCAGCATAGCAAGTCCTGATGAAAATGAACAGCTGGTCTGCTAGTTTAGCAGTTGGGAGGCAGAGGCAGGCTGATCTCTGTGAGTTCTGGGTCACCTTGCTCTGCATAGCAAGTTCCAGGCCAGCCTGTGCTACACAGTGATACCCTGTCTCAAAAAAAAAAAAAAAAAACAAAAGTAAATAACGTATCGATCAATCAACCAATCAGTTATTCCATCAGGAAGAAGGACTCAACAAGTCCCCAAGTTCCTGTCTATAGCTACCCCTCCTTCAAGCCAATACCCTCACCACCTTGAGCCAACCGCTATCCTCACTTTCCAGTTTGTTTCCAATAAGGTCTCATAGCTCAAGCTGGGCTCAGGCCTGCTATGGAGCAGAAATGAGCCTGCCCTCTGGATCCAGCCCAGGCCTTCTTGATGAACGCTAGGCCAGCCCTCCACCAACTGAGTTACAGCTCTAGTCCAACTTTTAATTTTTTTTGTTTTTTTATTTTGTTTGTTTGTTTTGAGACAGGGTTTCTCTGTGACTTTGGAGGCTGTCCTGGAACTAGCTCTTGTAGACCAGGCTGGCCTCGAACTCACAGAGATCCGCCTGCCTCTGCCTCCCGAGTGCTGGAATTAAAGGCGTGCGACACCAACGCCCGGCTTATTTGTTTGTTTTGAAGTAGGGTTTGTCTATGTAGCACTGGCTGTCCTGGAACTCGCCCTGTAGATCAGGCTGGCATCAAATTCAGAGATGCACCAACCTCTGCCTCCCAAGTGCTGGGATTAAAGTCATGCACCACCATTGCCCATCTTTTTTATTTTGTTTTCATTATTGTTAAATTTTATTTATTTTTATTTATGTGTATGTGTGCCGCGTACTTGCAGGTGTCTACAAAGGTCAAAATAGGGTGTTAGGCTCCCTGGAATTGGGGTTACAAGCAGTTAGTAATGGAACCCAGGTCCTTTGCAAGAGCAGCAAGTGCTTTTTTTTTTTTTTTTTGGTTTTTCGAGACAGGGTTTTTCTGTGCCTTTGGAGGCTGTCCTGGAACTCGCTCTGTAGACCAGGCTGGCCTCGAACTCACAGAGATCTGCCTGCCTCTGCCTCCCGAGTGCTGGGATTAAAGGCGTGCGCCACCAACGCGCAGCAAGTGCTCTTAAACCCTCAACCAGCACTCCAGTGCTGGCCCCTTTTCTGAGGAAGGATTCAATTCAAGTCCAGGCTGACCTTGAGCTCCATAAGCAGCCAGGGATGGGCTTGAACTCCTGACTGTCCCTACCTCCACCTAAGGCTCCATGTTTTAGGGCCTTTTGAGACCTGAAGGCTATGAGAATGAGATGCAAGTGATTTACCGCAGAGCCCAGTCTCCATTTCCCCTCCGTGCTGAGGATGGAACCCAGGCTTCAGACCAAACTGCTCTGGTTTTCCTCTTTTCCTTCACTTCCTGTCCTCAACTTCCCCTTCTTCACAGCAAAGGAACACCAGGAACACAGCTCTGCTCCAAGTCCTTTTGCTTAACCACAGCTTTTCATAGTCCGACTCACAGCATTAACTTTTGACCATTCCAATATGGAGCTGGGAAAACTCACACACTCAAAAATCTAAAGGAAACAGAAAAGCGCAGCAGGGTTTGGTTGTGCGCACTTACAATCCCAGCATACAGGAGGTCAAGGCTCAAGGGTCAGAAGTTCAAGGTCATCCTCTGACACTTAATAAATTTGAGGTCAGCCTGGGCTACAGGAGAGCCTGTCTTAGACTAGATATGAGTCAGAAGTGGTGGAACACATCTTTAATCCCAGCGTTGGGCGGTACGGACAGGTGGATCTGTGAGTTTAAGGCCAACTTGGTTATGTAGCAAGCTCCAGACCCACATAGAAAGCCCCTGCCTCAAATGCAGCAAAAAATAAAATAGGAAAAACATATGGCTGGGGATATAGAGCATTTATTCAGTATGCATAAAGCCCCAGGCTGCATCTGCAGAACTACATAAAACCAGGTGTGTGTGTGGGTGTGTGCATGCATGTCTGTCATCCTGGGGGGGGGGGGGGAAATGGTCCAGCTAGGTGAAAGTGCCTGCTACTGAGCTGGGGAGCTGGCTCAGTGGGTTCAGAGGACCCAGGTTCAATTCCCGGCACCACATGGCAGCTAACAACTGCTTATAACTCTAGTTCCAGGGAATCAACACTCTCTTCTGGCCTCCGCAGGCACCGGGAATGCATGTAATACACACAAACATATACAGATAAAACATCCAGCGGGGTGGTGGTGGTGCACACCTTTAATCCCAGCACTCGGGAGGCAGAGGCAGGTGGATCTCTGTGAGTTCAAGGCTGGGCTGGACCAACAGCCTCCAAAACAATACAGAGAAACCCTGTCTCGTAAAAACCAAAAAAAAAAATCCATATGCATAAAATAAACAAAAATTTGTAAAACAGCTTGTCACACAGCCTAGAACCTGAGTTCAATCCCCAAAGCCCACAGGTAGAAGGAAAGACCTGACTCCTGTAAATTATCCTTGGACCTCCACACTCATAGTGACACACATGCCCCTCTACAAATGTGTGTATGTGTGTGTAATTGTAAGGCCAAGTAAACATTAAAATAAAGTAGAAACTTAGTAGAAAATTAAACAGCGTACCGTGTTCCCTTTTCTCTAAGTCTGCCCTTTCCTTCCCTCTAACCTGACAGGAGGCTGCTGCCTCTCCTGTTCATTTCCTACCCCTTCTCTCCCTCCCTCTCTTGTCCTTTCCTTCCTCCCCCCTACCTTCCATAAAAAGAGGGTCTCACTATCTTCTGTGAAGCCCCAGCTGGGCCTCCAACTCCATATTCCTGCCCCAGCCTCTGGAGCTTCGATTAGAAGTGTGTCACTGTACCCAGTTTCTTTCATATATTTTCTTTTTTCTTTTTTTGGTTTTTCGAGACAGGGTTTCTCTGTGGCTTTGGAGGCTGTCCTGGAACTAGCTCTTGTAGACCAGGCTGGCCTCGAACTCACAGAGATCCGCCTGCCTCTGCCTCCCGAGTGCTGGGATTAAAGGCGTGCACCACCAACGCCCGGCCTCATATATTTTCTTATGAATATGTTTTTCTTACGAATATGAGTACCGGAATACGTTTTTTTTCATACTCACTGAACCACACCTTATTTTTTAACCTTCCTTTTCTTTAAAACTAATTTGTGAAGTGTAAATCACACACTTAATCCAAACTCATTAGATGCACAGTTTTACAAGGAATGTGTGTGTGTGTGTGTGTGTGTGTGTGTATGTGTGTGTGTGTTGGGAATCAAGCCAAGGCTTTGAGAACACTAAGTACCCACCCTGTCCTGAGCCACACCCCTAGGCAGCTGGTTTAAGTTTTTTTTAATGCCTTTATTTGCATTATAGTTCTTGGTGCATTTGTAGCCTCTCATCCTTCAAGTTTTTGCTGCCTCCCCAGAGCTCAGATCATAGGCCTGTGCCAACCACACCTAGTTTGTTACTGGGGATCACATGGAATCCAGGACTTTATGCAAGTACTTTACTAACGGATCTACACCAACCCCTCTGATAAGTTTTGGCAAAGTCATACACCAAGCCCTCTGATAAGTTTTGGCAAAGTCATAAACCCACCACATGTAAGCCCTGCCTAGAATCCCTCAGTGAGGGGCTGAGGTGTGTGGGGGGGAGTATAGTTCAGTGGTAGGGCCCCTGCTTAGCATCTGTGGGTTCCTGAGTTCCATCCCCAATACCAAACACACACAAAAGAGCCCAACATTTTAATCAGTCAAAAAGGTTCTTTTGAGCCGGGCGGTGGTGGCGCACACCTTTAATCCCAGCACTCGGGAGGCAGAGGCAGGCAGATCTCTGTGAGTTTGAGGCCGGGCTGGACCGAGGGCCTCCAAAACAATACAGAGAAACCCTGTCTCATAAAAACCAAAAAAAAAAAAAAAAAGGTTCCTTTGACAAGTTAATGTTTACACTTTTCATATCTGGAGATCTGCCCCAGCAGCTGTGGGAGAGCTCTAGAGATCTTTCTTTGAGTGTGGAGACCAGCACCCAATCCTGAACTCCTAACCCCCCACCATCAAGGGTCTCCTGGGTGACTTGTGACTCATTTCGCAATCTGCAGACAGGACTGCAGCGGCTGCCCTTGTGCTCACATCCTCTGTGTTCAGACTTGTTTCTGGACAAACCGGATTTGCTCCCAGGAGTACCACTGTCATTTTAACTTCTTTTTGATGGCACCGGGAATGGACTCCAAAGCCTCCCCCATGCAGGCAAGAGCTCTGCTGGGAACTACTCTCCCGGCTGCACCTAGAATCGATGCAGAGCCTGGCCTGGTTGGTAGTACACACCTTTATTGCTAGCACTCAAGAGACAGAGGCACAGCATGAGTTTTCAGAGCTGTAGCAAGACCATGTCTCAAGAGTAAAGAAAAGAGTTATAGGCTATGATAGAGGAGAGAGAATAAACACGAAGGCTTGTCTGCCAGCTGCAGGAAGCCAGCTCACTTCTCTGGGGAATTGAGTAACACTTGCCCACAGACACATTTGCCTAAGCCATTAGCGTGAGGCAAGTCACACAAACCACTCTCTTGACAGTTTCAACTGTCCCACGGGGGAGGGGGGGGTTTGCAGAGCAGGGATGCCTGCTGCGTGGGTGAATCCTTGATGTTTCC